AATAGCTTCGATTTTCTAGATTATCGACATAGCCTATCACGTGCTGATGAGAGCTAATAAGTTTGCAATCGCGATTCACATCCGCCAATTTCGATAAATTATTGTTCTTAATCAAATATTAAACTCAAAATAAGTTTAGAGAGACTGTATGTTAAATTCTAGTAACCAGCTTATCGATTTATGTAGGAAATTGTCTGCGTATTTTACTTGTAATACCTTCTTAGGATCGAATAAGGTGACAGGACATGTACTGTAGATATTTTTCTGAATTTAGTAGTCAATAGCGTCAATGATTTGGCTAAAAATAAATTCTAAATTGTTCTTAATAGCCTCATAAAGTTGAAGATGAATATACGCCTTCGACATATTTGCCTGTATGTGTATAATATGCTTTTGTACACCACATGGTACCAATTAAGATGCTGTTTTCCGAATGAGTGCAATTAAGAGAAATGAATTGCCTGCATTGCCTGCACCTACGCCTCTTGTATATGACTATGTGCTATGAATTGATTTACCGTGGAATATTATATTTTATTGTTCACGTTTACGCAAAACTGAACATAAATGTTACGAACCTAATTAAAATCAAAATAAGCTAAGCTTGTTAAATGTGTCTGTTTAAGGCACAGCTCCGTACGGATGCGAAACATAGACGGTGGGGGCGGCGGAATAGAAAACGATAGAAGCATTTGAAATGTAATGTTACGAGCGAATGATGAGAATATCGTGAATAGAGAAGGTTAGAATTGAGGAGGTATTAGAAAGAATAGGAGAACAGAGGACACTATGGAAGTCAATAAGAAATAGGCGAGATAGGTTGGTAAGACACCTCAGGCATGAAGGGCTAGCTAGAGACATATTAGAAGCAGAAACAGGAGTTGTAAGAAGTAAAGGTAGACCTAGATCAGACTGCTATTCATAAATAGTTAAGAATGTGGGATGTTCTAGTGTGGCGATATCCACCACATGTTTTAAAATAGTTTCCTTTTGTGTAAATTTTGTAAATACCTTTCTAAATATTTTCTTTTCTATTTTCGATTAGGGTCTATAGAATTTCCTTCCTTTTGTAAATAGTCTATTGTATCTTGCTTATCTATTTAAATAACTCTATTACTGTACCTTCCTATAATCCCTGTAACATTGACGTCTGTACGTTTCTAATTGCAATTTTACAATCGGTTTCTTCGGTGCTTGACACTGCCATCAACTTCTTGGTATTTCTAATCTTAAAGTTTCCATGTTTCAGTACTTCCCTACTCGTATCTACTACCCTCTCTATTCCTTCCTTGTAGAACAGTTTTTCATTTTTCATAAATACAATAATCAGTTCGTCTTCCGCCTTCAAAAGAACAAGTCTCTTCTCTTATCTTCTCTTTTCGTTACGCCAGTTGTTGTTAAGTTGTAAATATATGTTATTGTTATCTAGTTTTATTCATTCTTTTTCTAAGTCCTCCTCAAAACCTTCTCTAAACAAAGTGACCCAAAGAAACTTAGGAAACTAGTTTTGGGGAAATGCGAAGATTAGTTCAGGGTGGGAGAGAGTGGAGATGCGTGGTCCAAGGGTCCAACCAGTCTTACGACTGACGACCTTATGGTCATCATGGTGATGATGATAAAGATGAAGCTAAAGCTAGTGTATAATTTTAGGATTTCTATTTTAAAAGTGGTAATTCAGTAATACTTTAAGGGAAAGTTGAAAACATTGAATATTTGAACCCGTTTAGAATGTGGATGTTGAAAAACCTTCTTTAATTGATCCTTCAACTTCAATAAAATAAAAATTGAGAAGAAGTAGGTGTATGTCATTTTTTTGTAACGTTTTTGCTCCCTTATGGTCATGCGAACGAATAAAAAAAAATACATTTAATGGCTCAGGTCATTTTTAAGATTCCTTACGTCAAAGGGGAAATGAAACCCTTATAGTATCAGTTTGTTGTCTGCCTGTTTGTTGGTCGAGACCGTTTTTCTCAAGTACGCGTGAGTGTATCAAGTTGAAATTAATGTCAAATATTCAGGGCTGCAATCCCTTGGAGCTGTATAAAAGTCAAACTTAGTCAGTTTATGCTGCATATTTTGACACTCGCAGGGTACATCCCGTTCACCTCAAATCATGGAATTTGGCAAGAAGCAATGTAGAACAAACAGAATAGCTCAAAACCCCAACGCCAAAACGCGACACTGTAGTTGTCCGAAGCACTTTTCGGTAACAAAGTTACCTTCTTCTGGGACTGAAGTGAAATGTTCCTTTGTAACTTTGTTACCGAAAAGTGCTACGGACAACTACAGTGTCGTGTTTTGGCGTTGAGATTTTGAGCTATTCTATTTGTTCTATAACAACTGCCAAAGTTTTTCCAATCTTCATAAGAAGCAATGTCTAGAAAAAAAATCTGAAAACCGTAAATTGGTACTTACACCACAAAAATATATTTTTTTTTATTGTTATATTATACGTTCCTTCGACTGAGCTTAGAGGAAACTTATAAAAATATACTCGGAAAAAGTGAGAAAAATATTCGAAATTCGATTCCCGTGCAAGACGAACTATTTATTGTAGGGGAACACATAAGGTTTTTAATAAACAACAAATTGAATAATTATGTTTTATTTAAATACTTAACATCTTCATTTAAACCATCATATTAGACACTAAAATAAACTACATACCTATCTATAAGTGTGTACGGAACCCTCGGTGTGTGAACCCGACGCGTACCATCCATGGCTGTTTTTTTGTCATCCGACGCAATTAAGCTTAAACGTATTGTAGTTCCCACGAACTTGCCGCCCTATTCCTGCACTATTATGCATCTACCATTAGAAAAATGAGCACTTATAATGTGGTTACACTCGAGGTTTCCAAGATAATTTCTAAAATGACCTAACTTTCTTACGAAATAACAACTTTTAAAAGCAAAATGATTACGTTATTGGTCGGATGGTACATTACATAAGGTTTTCACTAGGTGTATGTATGTATAGTCTTCACTATGAATTCATATACAGGGTGTTTGGTAACTGGACAGCCAAAATGGAACATATATAAAATTGAATTAAAATCATAATTCAAACAATAACTTTTTCAGATGATTTTACTTAACAATGTGCTATGATATTATAGTGAAGTAAAAAAAATACATTTCAATAAAAGTTATTACACAGTTGAAAACTATAGTACAGAAGTTAAAGAGTAATTAACTTTTATTCAAAATTATTTGCTTTTTTTTACTTTAGACTAATATTTTTGCAAATTTTTAAATAAATTAATGAAGTATTTCTTTAAAAATGAGATCTTCTAAATGAAGTTCTATCTGAAAAACTTTTATTCTATTATTTGTGATTACAATTCGATTTTTGATATGATATTTCATTTTGGCTGTCATGTTACCAAATAACTATTGTACTGTAATAAATAGAAGAATGTATGTATGTATGTAGGTACTTACGATTAAAATGGTTTTACAAACGTCATTTAATGAATACTTAATTCTTTAAAAACACTTTAATTATTGGCGATTGTACCTGTATGTATTTTAGGTTTTAAGTGTAATGTTAAACGTTTCCAGTAATATAATGCTTCAAGTTCACAAGCCTGAACTTTAGTAAAACGATACTTTTTATTCGATGTGTTTTTTACGATCTTATTAAATGTCAAGTGTACATTACCTTTCATAAACATCCTGATCAACGAATTTGTCGAGTGTAACTAATATCAATTAGGAAAAAAAAAGAAAAAGAAATCAAAAACTCGAATGTTCGCACATATATAATTACATTTTCTCATTCGTACATTACTTCACACGTAAATTAATACAGATATATGTATATGAGGCTTATAATAAAAAAAAAATAACATAGTTACTGGAATTTCTAATGGTGCACATTTTGTTGCAATAATGGGTCCATTATTTATTGATTTATTTATTGTTAGGGTTCTATACCTCAAAATGAAAAAAGAAACCTTGTACGGTCATTTTGTTCTCCGTCTGTCCGTTTGTTTGTCTCAGCAACGCGTGGAGTTATCTAGTTAAGTTAATATCAAATAAAATCAAAAGATACTGCCGCTTATTTTGGCAAGGGAATCTAAACCTTTAGGGTACTTCTCGTTGAGTTAGAATCTTGAAATTGGACAAGAAACAATGTATTTATTGGAAGAGTTCTTATTTTCAGATGATAAATAAAACAACTTAATAGAATAAAATAATTCTACTACAGATGGCGTTTACCACGCCATTTGTGGTATTTTCACTGTTAAGACAGCAGGTAAAAGTTGGTCAGTGTTCTGTCAGAGCTGTCTGCGACGCGCTGATGAGATCCTAAAAGATGAAATCGCGATCCGCGTCTGGCAATTTCGACAGAATACAGACCACTTCGAATTATTTTATTCGATTATGGTAACGTGCCTATCACGTTGAGGTTAGCTACGCCGGGATTCGTTTCAGCAAGTAGATATCCATATATTTAAATGGACCTTGCTGAAGCATACGTAATCCTAAAATGTAGCATCGTACTACAGATGGCGTTTACCGCGCCATTTGTGGTATTTTCTAAAACGCAACTTAATAGAGTCGGAGTAATTTTATTTTAAGTTTTAAAAACGACCTAATAGACGGTCTGTCAGTTTTAACTAACTAATGCATTTCTTGTCTACATTTTGCGATTTTGTCACGTTCGAATTTCAAGAGGTTAGTCTAAACATTCGTTATGAATCGGATATAAATTTAGTCTATTAAATAAACAGAACAGGTTCATTTTTGTTGATGAACTCCAATAGTATTGTAGCACAAATAAAGGGAATAATCCGTAAATTTGTAGTTACACCACAAAACGTTTGGTGCGCGACTCCGACTTGCACTTGTTCGAAACTCGAAAACTATTAAGAAATAGTTTCAGATCCAGAAAAAAATCCGAAAATCGTAAATAAATTTTTTTTTTTGCGATTATAAACTTATACAGACCCGTTGATGCGCGAATCAATTTTTATTTTCTGATATAAATAGATATATCTGCATCCCTAGTGGGTCAGCCGACAGCTGTTATCCATGGCCAGGACCAACAAACTGTACATCCATATCTACAGCCTGGAACCACAATGGCGGATGATAGTAGGTACTCATGTTTTTACGATTAGTGTATGTACATACTTCAAATTCGTGCAAACATTTCTACCCTAGAAAACTTCTCCCTTGTTATAAATTTCTTCAAGCGTCGTTGTATTTTAGAGACTATTGCACATTGCTTAATCATTATCAACATTCTTTAACTTTGTAAATCAACAAAATCACAATTCTAAAGTTTTGAACATTCAATGGCAGCAACTTCTTGCATTACTTTTAAGTCCATCATGAGAAATGTTGGTACTTTACCAATATACATATCATTTGTGCACTAACAGATTTTCATTCCAAAATGTGAACTAACAAGATTACTTTGATTCTAATGTTTCAATATTCAGTCAGGTGCGATATTTATAAAAAAATTAATTTAAATAGGCGTATATTTATAGCATTATTAGCAGAAGAAGAAGCGGTATTGATAAGACAGTATTGTATGAAAATAAATAAAAGTAAAACAAAAATACTGGTATGTAAGAGAAGAAAAGTAGGGAAAGAGCGAATATAAAGATAGGAGACGAAAAATTAGAAGAAGTGGCTGATTTTAGGTATCTAGGAAGTAGTAATAGGGATATAACGCAGAAGATAGTGCAGGTTCGAGTCGCCTTCAATAAAAAGAAGTCACTTTTATGTTCGCGAATGGTTAATTTAGAAATTCGTACGGGTGCGAAACATGGACGGTGGACGCGGAGGAAAGGAAAAGGTTAGAAGTGTTCGAAATGTGGTGTTACATCAGGTGAATGATGACGATACCGTAGACAGGGAAGATTAGAAATGAAGAGGTATTAGAAAGAATAGGAAAACAGAGAACTCTATGGAAGTCAATAAATAGACGAGATAGGTTGGTAGATACCTTCTGAGGCATGAAGGTCAAGTCAGGGACATATTAAAAGCAGAAACTTAGATTAAATTACTGTTCGCAAATAGTTAAGGATGTGAGTTGTTCTAGTTTTGGGGAAATGTGAAGATTAGCTCATGATAAGAAAGAGTGGAAGTGGGTGTCCAACTAGTCTTAGGACTGAAGCCCTTACGATGATGAAAGTTCATAAGGTTATGATGATGAGGCATATCTTAACCTAGCATAACCTAACCTATGTAACCTGTTTGTTTAGTTAACCCTGGTCTTTCTACAGATTACTTTTCTGTAAATAAATACGTAGTAGTGATTGTGTTAGGTATGCGTATATGTAGCTGTTGGTTGATTTTCCTCTCGTAGCGGTTTTTGCATCTACTTTTAACGCTTGACATCTGTGGTCATTAAGGAGTGAGGTGCTCAAGATAAACAGTTTTAGTAGCTTTGCTTTTTTTCTTCTCTTCTTTGTTATTCTTGTAAGTTTTCTCGTGTACTCTTGATCTGGGTCAAGTCTCAAGTAGTGTCTTTTTTACGTTACACAAGAGATTTTTAATTTAAAATGAGCCTGCGAATTGTGTCCATTTTAATTAAAGTTTTTTTGTTTGAATTTAGTTTTTTCTCCTTTTGCTGCACGCATCATGATAGGTATGGCTGTTAGTTTTCTAACTGACAACTAATTCCTCGGAAGAAATATTTTGTTTTCATTTTTAGATAGGAACTAGATAATTCTAAATGTTACTGGGCAAGTTAACGACACTTAGTCCCAGGTGTTAGATGCCGCATTGTATAAATAATTGGTGTGTTCGAAAGGTAAAAGAAGCCTTGTCGGTACCGTTTATGTTGCGAAAAACGGTTCAAGGTTTTCAGCTGACTGTATGCATACAGAACAGAAGTTCAGTCTTCTTGGAAAGAGATTGAAAAGGCAGGTAATATACGTATCTACGTCACAGCGAGTACCTAGTTGCGTTTTATTTCTTACAATTTTTGTGGCTTTTAGGATGTTTCTTAAGTAAAAACTCGTGGGATCATTGATACGCATTTGTAAAAGTAAATTTAAATAAAATTGTGGATGGACTTCCGATGAGAGTCCACACCCGCACGTTGAATGAACGTTAATTATAGATGGGGGTTGATACATATTGATAATAAACATTTTTGCCGCAATCCGCCCCTAACTGCTTCGCTTGCGTTGATTTTTTTTTATTTGTTTTCATATTTAAAAGACAAAAATTAAACTATCCCTGTCTTGCTCACGTCTGGTGTGTGTTAATGTACTCATTCTGCTTACAAGGTCACATCTCTAACAGTTTGAAATGAGTTGTAAAACTAATTTTTTCTATCCCTCGGAAACAGTGTTTTTTTTTGTGAAGAAAAGGCACCTTATGTCCTTTTCTGTACCCCTGACAATGTGTATACATAGTTTCATGATGATTGGTTGAGTAGTTAAGGCATGAAATGGTAGCAAACAAACAATCAAAGTCACATTCGTATTTATATATAATATTAATTGGGATTATGCCTTGCCTTTCTGCCTAACTTGCTACTTCTAAACTAAAAATAGTCTAAATTACTTAAAAATAGCGTAGTAGTGAACATCATCTATAGAAAATTGCTATATTTTGTGGTTTTCAAAAATGTTCTACAAGGTCAATAAGAATATCGAAACTGCCAGACATGGATCGCGATTTCACTCTCATTAAATCTCGTCAGCACCTCGTAGATAGTCCCGTCAGTAGTAACTAACTGTACGTGTCAATTCGACAAGTCGATATTCTTTGTAACAATTTTCCACAGATGGCGTACACTACGATGTTTGTAATAATTCATAAAACGCTGTCTAAAGGCAACAAGCAGAGTTAGCTTCTATTCTGTTGAAACTGTATGGCGTGCTGAGGAGATCCAATGTGATCGAAATGCATGTTTGAAGGTTTCGAAAACGTATTGATCACCATGAGCATATGGTCTACAACTGAACCCAGCATCTTCTACCAAACCAAACAAAAATAGTTTTTATTCAACTCATGTAGATAATATATGTAACAGTATGTATTTACCAATTTACCTGCATTTCATTTAAAGTTATATACATATATTATATTTACATCACTCAATTGAATGGTTTTACCCCCCCCCCCCTCACACCACCTAGGCTGTGTAGCATATCCGTAATTAGAATTGATATTTTTTTAAGGGGTAGAACTTGGTATGCAGCAGAAATTATTACTTATGTATTTTAGCCCATGATCTCCCCTACAAAACTATTACGTACTACTCATTTTTCATTTTTAAACTGGCCCTGATCGAAAGTAACCAAAATACTATTTAGAAGCAGCAAAACGTAAAATTTAAATATTTAGTAAACGTGTGACTAAATGTAATGAAAAATTTCTTATGGAAAATGTTTATTTGCGTGGAGTTTATTTCTGCCCAAAAAGAAATCATTCATTCTTTGAACTCCCACAACCAATTCTCAGTAGGCAATTGAACACAACACGGAAAATCGTGGACAATTCTACCGTGTTTCAGCTGATTCACGCGAACCGAGCACAAGGAAACCGCAAAATCTGATGATGAACATGTACAACGACCGACAACGTCGCCAGTCAGTTAGTTTTAGTCGGTCGAGAAAGTGACAGCGTAGTATACTGTAGTTGTCCATTGTTACATCGGCAATAAACCAATAGGATCGTTCGTAGTGCCGTAGCAACAATACAGTTACTTTTGTTTCTTCTCACCGGCAATACCTACCTACAATCATTGTTGTAAACAATTGTACTCGCAGCTGATTAGTGAAAAGTAACAGTTGCGTGAGTGCATTGTTATTCGACTGTTATCTCTTAATTTACTTTGTTGTTAACTGTCAATAGGTACGACGATTGTGTTTTTTCAGTGCGTTTGTTGACATTCTGTAATTAGCGTAATAGCTGTCATTATTATGCCAAGAATCGTCTCTGTGGTAAGGAAAATGAGAAAATTTTCTTTTACGTTTTATTTGACAAACTCAAGTTCATTACAAAAAAATTACCGGTTTAAGCTGTAGATATATTTATAATTGAGCCTTTTTTTCGACAATGTGAAAACTTATTGAACTTATCGTAGTTAGGTACTTGGAAAATACTCTACTTTGCATATTAACGTTTTACTTACAAAAGTGAAAAATTTAAGCAATATGGAAACTAGTAATCACGTTAAATAAACATATAGGTACAACATAAACATATTTATTTAATAACTATGCTGCAATATGTACCGTGTTACCGTGTGACATTATCAATATGTTTTAAAATATGAATTTATTTTACATAGGCGTTATAATAAATATGTAAACAAAGTTATCGAATTTTATTCATTCTATGTGAACCTTGGCGAATGGCAAGATTAATTTTTTACCTTGATTTACTCGTTATGGAAATGATTTTCAAAATCGATTTAACTGGATATGCATTTACAATTTTAATTTTTCACTTGAATTAAACATTTGTCTGTTTTCTCAATAATGTGTGGCCATGTACAGGGTGATACGTCCCAACAGATGTATCCTTCTGGTTAAAAAAAAAAAACGGATATGAATATACAAGGTGTTTCAATTTAGATAACTATAGTAGGTATGTACATTCTTTAATATTATTATTATACATACAATGACAATAATTCAAATTTTTTTATTATAATATTTGAAAATAGTTGGAAAGTTTAGAAATGTGTGATATGAAAATTTTGGTCTAGTCCAGTCTTTGTCTTTTTAAGACAAGTGGTACTTAATTAGAGTATGTGTTGTTTTTAAAAGCACGTTATTTTTAGATGATAACATAACAAGTGGGTGGTAAGAACACACTTGAATGTTGATGTAATTATATAATTAATCTTGCGCCAAATATGCGTAGAAAACCTTCATTAATTGACTAAAATATAGGTGGGCTGTAAAATTGCTAGGAACAGCAAAGTTATCATCCTTAAACTAACATTTTGTCATACTTTTAAATAGACCTTAATATTTATATGCCGTTTTAAACACTTTTTATACATAATAATACGTATGTGTATGTATACACGTATTATGTTTTAATTAAAATCGTGAATGAATTCCGCTTTGTACGTGTGAAGAATAATAGGAAATACCTGCTGAAGTTCGTTATTT